TTATATTCTCCTGTTATAAAACCGAGAAATTGGAGAATTTCAGTTTTCCGCATTTTCGAGTTTTGGTAATAGGGAAACATAATAACCGAAGAGACATTCGAACGACTTCCGCACTCATTATATTCTCCTGTTACAAAATCGAGAAATTGGAGAATTTCAGTTTTCCGCATTTTCGAGTTTTGGTAATAGGGGAACATAATAACCGAAGAGACATTCGAACGACTTCCTCACTCATTATATTCTCCTGTTAGAAAATCGAGAAATTGGAGAATTTCATTTTTCCGAATTTTTGGGTTTTGGTAATAGCGAAACATAATAACCGAAGAGACATTCGAACGACTTCCGCACTCATTATATTCTCCTGTTACAAAACCGAGAAATTGGAGAATTTCAGTTTTCCGCATTTTCGAGTTTGGGTAATAGCGAAGCATAATAACCGAAGAGATATTCGAACGACTTCCTCACTCATTATATTCTCCTGTTACAAAATCGAGAAATTGGAGAATTTCATTTTTCCGCATTTTCGAGTTTGGGTAATAGGGAAGCATAATAACCGAAGAGATATTCGAACGACTTCCTCACTCATTATATTCTCCTGTTACGAAACCGAGAAATTGGAGAATTTCAGTTTTCCGCATTTTCGAGTTTTGGTAATAGGGAAACATAATAACCGAAGAGACATTCGAACGACTTCCTCACTCATTATATTCTCCTGTTACAAAATCGAGAAATTGGAGAATTTCAGTTTTCCGCATTTTCGAGTTTGGGTAATAGCGAAGCATAATAACCGAAGAGATATTCGAACGACTTCCTCACTCATTATATTCTCCTGTTACAAAACCGAGAAATTGGAGAATTTCAGTTTTCCGCATTTTCGAGTTTTGGTAATAGGGAAACATAATAACCGAAGAGATATTCGAACGACTTCCTCACTCATTATATTCTCCTGTTACAAAACCGAGAAATTGGAGAATTTCAGTTTTCCGCATTTTCGAGTTTGGGTAATAGGGAAGCATAATAACCGAAGAGATATTCGAACGACTTCCTCACTCATTATATTCTCCTGTTACAAAACCGAGAAATTGGAGAATTTCAGTTTTCCGCATTTTCGAGTTTTGGTAATAGGGAAACATAATAACCGAAGAGACATTCGAACGACTTCCTCACTCATTATATTCTCCTGTTACAAAACCGAGAAATTGGAGAATTTCAGTTTTCCGCATTTTCGAGTTTGGTAATAGGGAAACATAATAACCGAAGAGATATTCGAACGACTTCCTCACTCATTATATTCTCCTGTTACAAAATCGAGAAATTGGAGAATTTCATTTTTCCGCATTTTCGAGTTTGGGTAATAGGGAAGCATAATAACCGAAGAGATATTCGAACGACTTCCTCACTCATTATATTCTCCTGTTACAAAACCGAGAAATTGGAGAATTTCAGTTTTCCGCATTTTCGAGTTTTGGTAATAGGGAAACATAATAACCGAAGAGACATTCGAACGACTTCCTCACTCATTATATTCTCCTGTTACAAAACCGAGAAATTAGAGAATTTCATTTTTCCGCATTTTCGAGTTTGGGTAATAGGGAAGCATAATAACCGAAGAGATATTCGAACGACTTCCTCACTCATTATATTCTCCTGTTACAAAACCGAGAAATTGGAGAATTTCAGTTTTCCGCATTTTCGAGTTTTGGTAATAGGGAAACATAATAACCGAAGAGACATTCGAACGACTTCCGCACTCATTATATTCTCCTGTTACAAAACCGAGAAATTGGAGAATTTCAGTTTTCCGCATTTTGAGTTTTGGTAATAGGGAAACATAATAACCGAAGAGACATTCGAACGACTTCCTCACTCATTATATTCTCCTGTTACAAAACCGAGAAATTAGAGAATTTCATTTTTCCGCATTTTCGAGTTTGGGTAATAGGGAAGCATAATAACCGAAGAGATATTCGAACGACTTCCTCACTCATTATATTCTCCTGTTACAAAACCGAGAAATTGGAGAATTTCAGTTTTCCGCATTTTCGAGTTTTGGTAATAGGGAAACATAATAACCGAAGAGACATTCGAACGACTTCCGCACTCATTATATTCTCCTGTTACAAAACCGAGAAATTGGAGAATTTCAGTTTTCCGCATTTTTGAGTTTTGGTAATAGGGAAACATAATAACCGAAGAGACATTCGAACGACTTCCTCACTCATTATATTCTCCTGTTACAAAACCGAGAGATTGGAGATTTCAGTTTTCCGCATTTTCGAGTTTTGGTAATAGGGAAACATAATAACCGAAGAGACATTCGAACGACTTCCGCACTCATTATATTCTCCTGTTACAAAACCGAGAAATTGCAGAATTTCAGTTTTTCGCATTTTTGAGTTTTGGTAATAGGGAAACATAATAACCGAAGAGACATTCGAACGACTTCCGCACTCATTATATTCTCCTGTTACAAAACCGAGAAATTGGAGAATTTCAGTTTTCCGCATTTTCGAGTTTTGGTAATAGGGAAACATAATAACCGAAGAGACATTCGAACGACTTCCGCACTCATTATATTCTCCTGTTACAAAACCGAGAAATTGCAGAATTTCAGTTTTCCGCATTTTCGAGTTTTGGTAATAGGGAAACATAATAACCGAAGAGACATTCGAACGACTTCCGCACTCATTATATTCTCCTGTTACAAAACCGAGAAATTGGAGAATTTCAGTTTTCCGCATTTTTGAGTTTTGGTAATAGGGAAACATAATAACCGAAGAGACATTCGAACGACTTCCTCACTCATTATATTCTCCTGTTACAAAACCGAGAGATTGGAGATTTCAGTTTTCCGCATTTTCGAGTTTTGGTAATAGGGAAACATAATAACCGAAGAGACATTCGAACGACTTCCGCACTCATTATATTCTCCTGTTACAAAACCGAGAAATTGCAGAATTTCAGTTTTTCGCATTTTTGAGTTTTGGTAATAGGGAAACATAATAACCGAAGAGACATTCGAACGACTTCCGCACTCATTATATTCTCCTGTTACAAAACCGAGAAATTGGAGAATTTCAGTTTTCCGCATTTTCGAGTTTTGGTAATAGGGAAACATAATAACCGAAGAGACATTCGAACGACTTCCGCACTCATTATATTCTCCTGTTACAAAACCGAGAAATTGCAGAATTTCAGTTTTCCGCATTTTTGAGTTTTGGTAATAGGGAAGCATAATAACCGAAGGGGTATTCGAACGACTTCCTGCGGAAAACTGAAATTCTCCAATTTCTCGGTTTTGTAACAGGAGAATATAATGAGTGCGGAAGTCGTTCGAATGTCTCTTCGGTTATTATGTTTCCCTATTACCAAAACTCGAAAATGCGGAAAACTGAAATTCTCCAATTTCTCGGTTTTGTAACAGGAGAATATAATGAGTGAGGAAGTCGTTCGAATATCTCTTCGGTTATTATGCTTCCCTATTACCCAAACTCGAAAATGCGGAAAAATGAAATTCTCTAATTTCTCGGTTTTGTAACAGGAGAATATAATGAGTGAGGAAGTCGTTCGAATGTCTCTTCGGTTATTATGTTCCCCTGTTACCAAAACTCGAAAATGCGGAAAACTGAAATTCTCCAATTTCTCGATTTTGTAACAGGAGAATATAATGAGTGCGGAAGTCGTTCGAATGTCTCTTCGGTTATTATGTTTCCCTATTACCAAAACTCGAAAATGCGGAAAACTGAAATTCTCCAATTTCTCGGTTTTATAACAGGAGAATATAATGAGTGCGGAAGTCGTTCGAATACCCCTTCGGTTATTATGCTTCCCTATTACCAAAACTCGAAAATGCGAAAAACTGAAATTCTCCAATTTCTCGATTTTGTAACAGGAGAATATAGTGAGTGCGGAAGTCGTTCGAATATCTCTTCGGTTATTATGTTTCCCTATTACCAAAACTCGAAAATGCGGAAAACTGAAATTCTCCAATTTCTCGGTTTTGTAACAGGAGAATATAATGAGTGAGGAAGTCGTTCGAATATCTCTTCGGTTATTATGCTTCCCTATTACCCAAACTCGAAAATGCGGAAAACTGAAATTCTCCAATTTCTCGATTTTCTAACAGGAGAATATAATGAGTGTGGAAGTCGTTCGAATAACTCTTCGGTTATTATGCTTTCCTAATACCAAAACTCGAAAATGCGGAAAACTGAAATTTCTCGATTTTCTCGATTTTCTAACAGGAGAATATAATGAGTGAGGAAGTCGCTCGAATACCTCTTCGGTAATTATGCTTTCCTAATACCAGAATTCTAAAATGCGGAAAACTGAAATTTTCCAATTTCTCGATTTTGTACCAGGAGAATATAATGTGCGCGAAAGTGGTTGGAAGAACTCATGAATATTTCTTTTTTTAAGTATGATTAAGGATATTTACTAAACAAAGGATATTATTTAAAAGGAGTACAATAACAAACACGTGTTTGAATAATAAAAATTGTGTTTATTTTATTTAAAAATTACATACTTTTATATATTATAAATATAATATAATAAAATTACAATGTTATTTATTTAAAAGACTTAGATACAAAGTTATAAAATACTTCGCAAGCTATAAAATTGTTTATCGTATATATTTGTTGATATACATTACGCTTTTAAAAATATAATACAATCTATTTTACCCGATCACGTAGTGTATGCAAAAGCTATCAATGCCATTGATAGGATATATTACAAATGTGATGTAATAAAATTACAATGTTATTTATTTAAAAGACCTAAATACAAAGTTATAAAATACATCGCAAGTCATAAAATTGTTTATCGTATATATTTGTTAATGTACATCAGTAATGTAATGGTACAAAAATGATGGTCCATCGACCATGTATGGTATATAGTATGGTACAAAATGATGGTCCCATTGACCATGTATGGTATATAGTATGGTAAAAAATTGATGGTCCATCGACCATGTATGGTATATAGTATGGTACAAAAATGATGATCCATCGACCATGTATGGTATATAGTAAGGTACAAAAATGATGGTCCATCGACCATGTATGGTATATGGTATGGTACAAAAATGATGGTCCATCGACCATGTATAGTATATGGTATGGTGCAAAAATGATGGTCCATCGACCATGTATATTGCAATATACATGTATATTGCAATATCTGCATTCCAATTCCCTCAACGCCTTTTACCGGCATTTAAATAAAGAAAGGTCAATTTAAACATAAAAAAGAGACAAATGAATTATTTCGTCGCGCAACTCGGACTTTTGTTCGCTCATAAACCCCACCTACACCCATTAATTGCGTGTTTCATGTGCATGTCACGCGACAGTAGTGATCACGTGAGTAACACGTCCAGCGTTCGCGTATGAAGATTGAATCGAGACAGGCCTCGAGTCCAACTGCAGACTGCGACGGATGAAAACTTATTGATTCGCCGACAACGACGACGACGCTCGTTGGGAGCCATCGATCACCAAGTAAATCTTGCCGAAGGAGAGATCACGGCTTACATGACGGCACGACGACGACGACGACGACGGCTATGACGACGTCAGTGGGATCACCTTGGTAACCGGCCGTCAAAACACTACGTCGTCGACGCGCAAAGACGACCGTAATACGTCGACGAGCGTGGCCATCGGTGGGATCGTTCGCCAGCCTTTGCCGCGTCCTATGGATCATCCTGACATCGCGACGACAACGACGACGACGATCGCCGTGCTCGCGCAGCGCTGGAAAAGCTGGCCGAGTCGGGTCGGCTGGCGTTGAAGTTGTTGAAGTGACTGAGAGATGATCGCCGGCGTGGAATCCGCGTGGTATCGGCTGGAATGTGAAAGCTGACGTTGGAGTGCGACGACGAGGGTGCCGATCGTCATTGGAAACAAAGTGCCTTCGAGTTGCCGAGTCTTAAAGCATGAGCTCGGGGAATTCCCGGATACTTTGCTTCGCGCTGACTTTGGTTCTCGCCTGCTGCCAAAGAGGTCGGTAGATGATCGAGTGTTGCGACGTGTTTCTTCGACTTCTTCTTTTCTGTCTAATTCTTCCTCTTTCGGTGTTCAAACTTCGGCTTCACCTCTTACCGAGATCAGATCTCGGCCAGGGCACGAAGGTCGGCAACGGCCGGCGAGCTATCAGCGAATCTCGCGCGCGAACGAGATCGATAAGTGAATTGTATACTCCCGTCCCGAGGACGAACCATTTTGCGGGCTCGACCGCGATGTATAGCACGCGCGGTTTCGCGTAAAAATAGCTCGCGTTGGCGCCGCGATGACCTCGCGGCCGATCGTTGAGATGTTCTCTCGCGTCGCATTGACACTTCCTAATCCAATGCCCATTGCGCTTGATTCTTCTATCTATCGTCGCGTTTGTGGAGTAAAACATCCCGTTGAACAAACAGCACTGCGACGCGAATGATGATTCGGGGAAAGCAGCGTCTGCCAAATTGCTCCCGTTCGGAGAATGAACGATCGACCGATCTCTGATCCGCAGGCTGGGCTATCGACTGCTTCAAGTGCGTCTCGATCGATGGCGACAACAAACCCTGCGATGACCCATTCCATAACAATGGGAGCCTCGCCTTCTTGGAGTCGCCCTGTTTGGGCGGTCGGAAAGGACGGGACGGCCTCTTCCCGGCGACGGCTTGCATCAAAATCGCCGGCGTGTACGGTAAATTCGCGAACCACCGCGAGCGACGTGATTCGAATCCTGAATTTTCGCGCGTCTTTCTCCGAGATTCCTAGCGAGCATCCACAATCGTCTGAAATTTCCATATCTGCGAAAAATGCGTCGCGAACATGCATAATGGAAAGCGTCTCGCGTTGACATTGCAATCTCCCTTCTTCTTCCAAAGCGCGAGTCTCAAAGTCGCGGCTGCTTCCGCGACTTCCACCCTTCACGAATGTGGAGACTCGAATGTGGGGTGACTTGATTGATTGTTTCCAAATTACTCCAGACGAATCCGGCGTGTCGCTCATGGTGAGGGGCTGCGCGCTAGACAGCGGCACTTTGACCACCGACTCCGAGATCATCAGGATGTCCCACTGCGGAGGTTTCTACTTCGACGACAAGTAAGATGGCGCGAGACGGAAAAAGAAATTATGGCAACCCGCGAGTAAATAAATCGACAGTCTCTCAACGGCGACATGTCTTGCATTTCACAGATACGTGCGTGGGTGCGTGCAGTCCTGCAGCGACGCGGACGCGTGCAACACGTCGTCGGGCAAATTGGCGACGCTGATTGTCCTGATATTCCCGGTCCTCGTGGGACTGCTCTAACGACGCGCGCGCTTTAACGATGGACGACGCGATGATGTACGTGTGCACACAAGCGAGTGCGATCGCTTCATCGTTGGCGGACGACGAGCGGAGAAGTTCGCCGGGCGAAGAAGCGGCGGCGGCGGCGGCTTCGAGAGGTTCACGACGATCCTCGCGATGAAGAACATTACGCAGCGAGCATATAACGCGATACGCGCGACATGACGTAATAATTAACGAGAGTACTGTTCGTTAAATTCCACAATGGTAAGACTACACCTCGCGCGACCCGCGTGTCCAAGGCCCGTCTAACGATGGTCTTGGAACTCGAGTCTCGAGTGAGCTACTCGGGTTCGAATCCGGAATGTGAGATGTGATTTTTTTTCCAGTTGAATCGCGATTACCGACGTGATGTCGTCGCGTGCATCGCACGACGCGACTGAAGAACTCGGTTCTACGTTTGAATTAAGAAACCGAAGTAGCTCACGTGAGACATGTCTCGAGTGACACGGTCCTTATCGACATGGTCCTTATTGCCTCTCACAGACATCTTTCTGAGACATCTTTTTGAGACGTCTCGATGTTCTCTGGGATAGTGAATATACTGCCAGATTATGATTAAGATTCTCTCTAGCGACGAACGGTTAAACAATTAGTTGATGTTTGGGACGGTTAAACCACGCGGCTTGCTGATTATCATTTCGGCTATCATTAGTGACATGTACGTGCGATACATCGATTGTACTATTACTACCGCTTCATATCAATAAAGCATATCTCGAAATTGTTAAACGAACATTTCTCTTCTATTCTTCCCTCTTTGTCCTTCCTTTCTTATCTCGAACGCGCGAGCGATTTCAGACGACGTAACGTCCACGTAGATTCCCTTCTCTACCTTTTTCTTTGTTTCGACGCGACCGATCGATCTGCCTCTTCGATTTTTCGACAAACGACTCGTTTGTCTCGGGACTTCGGGATTCTGTGAAATCGTTCACGACGGAGTGTAAATTTCAATAGCAAAGATCGACCATGAAGAGTCGAGTGCCCAGCTCTCGCGAGCGATTCGTCAGCTTCTTTTGGAAAGTCGTCTGCTGGCTTTGGGAGACCCTCGACCTCGTTCTCATCATCGTGCTCGACTATTGGGCGAGGATGATCGAATTGATACTCGTGCTGATGAACATAACGTTTCAGGTGACGTTTCGCTCGTACCCAACAGTCGCTTTGAATACATCGCGACGGTCGAGATAAAGTAAGTAAAGTACGGAGAAGAGCATATCTCGAATTCGGAATTGCAAATCCACGCTTTCCGCGACTCGACTTTCCATCAGCGCTAAAAAAGCGACGGGCAAAGAATACAGTGAATTCACGAGATGAAATCAGCGCGAGGAGACGCGAGGGTACGATAGTGGATAACGAAGAACGATGCTTCCAGGTGATCTGCTTCCTCCGGGACTTGTGCATCGACTCGATGCAGACGTTCGCCAATGTTTTCCGAGGGATCGTCAACGTCGTCGGCGGCATCAGCCGCGAAGACGTCGAGGATTTCGCCTCCGCTTGTATCGTCGTGTTCTTGTACACCGTGGCCGTGAGGATGTTTGTGAACCTTCTGAGAAAGGTATACACGACGGGAAGGTACGCGAGACTCGCGTCTCGCTGATATCGCAGCGATAATCGTTACTGCCAACAATAGCCAGCAATTCGCGGCAAATAATGAGAAGTCTCGAGAGCGGCCGCGTTTGTGCGCGCCGAGAACTTCTCAACGCAAAATGCATAAGAAGGTTAAACACTTACTCAAGGAACGCTCGCTCGAAACGCGACAAATATAAAAGTAATAAGTATGTCGCCTCGCTCTGGAGAAACAAAACGAGACATTCGCGCCTTCTCCGGAAGAAAAATCTTTCTCTCCGCTTCTAACTGTTTATGGGGATTGCTGAAGTAGGCTTGTCGGCGTCAAGTGTCCCGTTTTGTCTCGGACATCATCTACCTCCTGTCATTCTCTTCGTCAGCCGCAAATATTGCTACCGTACTTTCTAGAACTGTCGGACGCGACGAAGCGCGGAAACTTTAAACCGTTCGTGCGCGCGTCTCGCGGGGAATAGCGCTACCACGTGACGTGGTGGAGAAGACCACGGTGCAAAAACCAGGTAAACCAACCACGTTAGACTGATATCTTTAAACCATTCTCTCACTCTGAATGTGCACGATGCATTATCTGGTTTTTGTCTCCGACGAGTCCGACCGACGCGGCGAATCCGAGCCTCGAATTCGCTTCGTGATCTTCATCATTAGTCGCTTCGTTGATTCGTACATGAAGACTCACCCATTTGAATGAACATTCCGTTGCACCGGCTGCGTGAGACCGCGATAGATCCTCGGAATATGATGGTCTCTGACCATCATATTCCGATAATTAAAAAGAAAGGAAGTAACGCGAATCCAGCTCTATTTTACACGTCGAACGTCCAGCGTCGACCGTTTGCTCTCAAACTCCAACGTTTCGCGCGTCCGGCGATCACGTTAAACGCACGCGACTCAACGCAACGTCACGTCCGATACTTCAGAATCCCTATGTGAAACTGTTCAACGTCCCCGAACAACGGACCGCGCGGCGGGGCAATAATAACAACAATCCGACGATGAGAGGTCACGCTCGGGACGCCGACAGGAAGCCGGGCAGACGGATGAACCAAAGGAATAACAGGCGACACCGGCCAATACTGGAGAGCAACTGAATTATTGACAAAATTTTTTCCTCCTTTCTCTGTAGAGCATGTACATTTTTACCCAGGTATATCAATATGGACGACAGAGAGAAAGGGGGAGAGAGGGAGAGGGAGAGAGAGAGAGAAGAAAAACGCGCAAAATATGTGAAAACTATGTATGTGTGTGTGTGTGCTGTATAATAGTATATAATTTATATATACTTTTTATGTACAAAATTAAATATATATATACACACGAAGAAAAATCCGCAACGTTTCGTTATGATTTTGTTTTTGCAAATAATACAAACAGTCACCAGACTATTTACTTCTTGGAGGATTCAATGTTTCGGAAAAAACAAATTTGAATGTCGCGAATTTTCCGTTGCGCATATATACGAGCCAAGCATCAATTTGTAAAAGAGAGACCGACGGTAATATTCGTTGTATAGAAAAATACATCGCTTTGAAGACATTCGAGGACGTAGGTCCGTTGTTAAAACATCCAATCTCTACTTTCCCACATTGATGGGCGAATTGATCCCCTTAAACACGCACAGAGAAAATTTATAAATTATAAAAGTCTTACATTACGCCGAGATATGTCTGGTCTAACAATCGACACTATAAACAGAAACCTCGATTTTCAGCGAGGTTCGATAATACTTTTATTGTGTTATTCTTAACTTAAATGTATATATATAAATGGGACGCGCGATATATATATATATATATATGTGTGTGTGTGTGTGACCGAAGGATGATGAGACGATGATTTTCAGGAATCGTACCGTTGTCGCGGGGATTCAATCGTTGATGATGGTGATGACTAATTTATGTTCCGGCCAAGAGAATGTCTTTGGCAATTGGATCTACAATGAAATAAATCAGTATACGTGAAACGCTATCTCAGTTGCATCGGTAAGGCCAAAGGAACACTTCAAAATCCTTGGCCGCTCAAATCTTCCAAAGAACGAGATTCTGAAGCACGACGTCGTAACAATGATCTAAAAGCGGTCTCAAACAACATAATCACCTTATCCGGCGTGTTCAAAACTTGGAATTCTTGGGCCATTTTTTCGTACAATTCTTCCGAGAGAAGCACCTGCAGCCACGGTCCTTGAAGGACATATGGCTTCTCCTTTGCGACTAAGGTGCCCGTCACCGACGGTGCTACTATCGTGACGGCCGAGTGGGACAGTATGGACTTGAAAGTGAAGTGCCTCCCGTGCATCACGCGGCCCCTGCAACGCCAACCAACATTGCATTGTTATTCGCCGGACGTCGCGCTAATGACGCTGTCGAGTCGCTTTACGACGGTGACAACCTTATCGCTAGTGGAAGCAACGAGCCGGCCTCGAGGTTGAACGTAAGATGCAGGCCGGACAAGACTTTAATACTGCCCTCATCTGCGTCCTGCTCGCATGGCGACAGTCTCTCCGTTTTCACCATCGGCTTCACGTCCTCCTCTCCCTCGTCGTCGTCGTCGGAATCGTCCCTTCGCTCTCTGTATCTCTCCACGTTCTTGTCGCCCGTAATCTGCACCCACCTGCAATATCATTGATACACATGTGTGTTTTATTAAGTCTCCCGATTCCTAGAAGACAATCGTTCACGAGGCCTGCAAGCTTGACATCTTGATCTTCATTACACTCACCAACATTTGGCGGACACGCCGCTTAAGTTCGAGCCGTCTTTCTCGATGCCGCGCTGTATCTTCTCCGCTATGGAGGGATCATTCTCCATAATGGAGTGCATTCTCCTCATGTCCGTGATTAACCAAGGGCCGCACTCCGGCGCGCTCTTCAGCAAATTAACAACACCCAGACCATTCCAGTGCTGAGCCGCCTGCAATTCCTCAGAGGTGACGCCGACAATCTGAACGAACGAGACCTGTTTGCAAAAGCAAGAGTGGTACAGTCAGTGATTCGGCATCTATTGAATCTGGTATCCGTTCTGCTTACCAATCGGCCCGCGATTAAGAGATTAAAGGCTAAGTGCAGCTGTTCAGCGGGTGATTTTAATATTAGATTCATCCGATCGTATCTTCAAGTTTAACAAACAACGCGTCCAGACGTTCGCACGGGTTTAAATCTTTCTCCATATACCTCGCCATGGGGCGTGGAAATCGACACTGGGAGCTGCGGGTCCCTGCCCATCAAGATCTGAGTGATGCGACCGCTTTCGCCGTTCAGCGGAGCGTGCCAAGAGACGTGGTCGCCCGGCATCACCGTGTTTCCGGAACTGAAGACATACTTGGCCAATAACTGCAACATGTTCGCCGGCCACGTGGGCGGCGTCGTCTCGCCCCTTTCGCGTGCCAGCCGGAAGGTGAACTCGAAGCCGAACCCGCTAGGACGACCCGGGCCATTTTTAGGATGTAGCCGGCCGTCTCCGTGCAAATCGGACAATCCGAAGCTGCGTTTCAACAGATCAAATGCTAGATGAAGCGAATATAACGTGTGTGAATCTCTCTTTCAAGGAGAGATCGCAGTGCGACGTAACGTCTGAAATAAATTTCAACTCGTGAGAATACGCATCATATTCAGCATCAGACACGTATTCTCTTCCAAACCTCGTTATGTCACCCAGAATTAAACACAACGTCATTAAAAAAAAAAGAAAAAAAAGAGGAGAAAAAAAGCTACACGTGTGGCGCGCTGGGAAAGTGACTCATACAGTCGCGCCGCGAAAGTATTTCGTAGTTTCAGTCAATGGCGACGTATAATTAGACGACGCAGACGAAAAAGGGGAAGTCCGGCGCTTCTATTTCCGACGTGCCGCGCTTTAAACGACTTTGTTCTTCCTGCACCCTATGCGTTCCCTATATATAGAGAAACGAGTCGGAGTATTGGGACAGCTGGCTTCGAAACTGAAGAAGCGCGAGGGTCGCCGCCGGTGCGGTGGGAGAAAAAAGCGGCACCCTTTGGCGGAAGGTCATTCGTCATTCGTCATTCGGCGCACAGATTCCGATAGGATATCCGAGCGAAGGCGAATCGCTCGCCTGCGCACGTCAAGCATCTGCCATCGCGTCAGTTTGCGCACCGATTAAATTTAGCCGAATACACGCGGCTTCTGCAAACACTTTCATCCCGATGAGTTTTTGGATACCACGTGTCGGGGTGTTCAATCGGAAAATTCGTCCTCTGACGAATTACCAGAAGATCCCCGTGACTCATCGAGAGAAAAAAATGCTGCAACCTTCCCGTGACAGAGAAAGGAAGCGGAAGAAAGGGAGCGATTTTCCAACCAAGGGCCGGTTGTTCCAACTTCTTGCTACGTTAACTGATAGTCAAATCATGTTTGTCTTTGTTTCTCCTTCAACTTAGACAAAGACAGACATGACATTAGATGATTTAACCAATCAGTCAATTTACCAAGAAGTTGTAACAACCGGCCCTAAATTACTTCGTGGATTCCTTCGCGTCTGCCAAATCGTGGAGAACCTAACTGACGGATCTCAACGAGATCTCCAGAGACATTCTCTTCGCTCTTCGCGAAGACGCGCTCCTCGGCAGCTCGAAACGTGTCTGATGTCCGACAAGACAGATAGAGCGACGACTTGTCTTGGAACAGCCCGCGGAGAATCCGCGAGAATTCTTACCTGATGTAGTGCCAATGTGGAGGTACTCCGAGTTCGGGACATCCTGGACTGGCGTACATACTGATATAATCGAGGGGGTCGGGTCCTCCCAGCCTGCGGGGAAAACGCGAGAAAAGTTCGGATCAGCTGACAGGACATCCGGTTTTACATGCGCGTGAAGGGGGGCTAAATATAGTCTATGTAATCTCCGTTTCTTCACGAAGGGAGGAGCGATAAAATGACTTTCTACGAGTGTTCCAGATCCTTACGCACCTCAGCAATATTTTCACGTTATTAAGTCGACGAAAATTCAATTAATCGCGATAAAATGAGTGCCGATACCCGGCACGGTAGCCGGAGGAAAATATTTCCACGAACAGTCAACACACGTAACGCGCGCAGGACGCGAATTAATGAAATGTCCAAGAAAATGATTGCAAGCGCAGCAACGCTTTTGAAAAAGGCCGGTTCGCGAGGCGGTTCGCCTCGTGAAGCAGCCGGAGTCGTCGTCGCATCCAGCTCGTAAATTAATTGTTTACGACTACCTGGCAGGACGAGAGAGTACCAGAACCTGGCGGGGTTACCTGCACGACGCGGAACAAACGGTCCCTCCCGCACTTTCTCCCGTGCGAAAACGCAACGCGACTGCACTGCGCCTGGCGTCGTGGAGACTTACGTGCTTACCAATATTTCACAACCGCTGTGACTGTCAGCGGGTTACACTGGTCGGGATAGATCTGCCTGCAGAGGCTGTGCAGGGCGTCCAAGCCCGGAGCTTGCGGCGACGGTGCCTGGATCGGTGGCAGTGGATGATGATGATGATGATGATGCTGCTGTTGCTGCTGCTGCTGCTGCTGCTGGTGATGGCCCGGCAAGAAACATCTCGACAGGTCGTCGTGCTCGCGCATGTTCGCGCCGTACATAAATCCACCGTGGATCCGCAGAATCGCGTGCTCGCCACGCCGAAGGCACTTTGTTTACGACTCAGGCACGCATTCGCAACACGACACGCACGCAAACGCACCACCAGCGTCAGCGGCCACTGACGAGACAAAAGCACGATGATCGGCCGTAAACAGGTATCGCGTAGATAAGGGAGATGGAGCAACAGAACGGAAATTCCAGGCGGACGCGTGGCGCCTCTGCAGGCGTTCTCGGGTAGATCGTGGAATCTACCGTGCTCTCGTTTTATCCGCGTTCTCCGACACTTCTCGCACCTGAAACGAAAAAGAGTGCACGTTAGAGGCGCAAGAGAGCGAGAGGGACAGAATCGGTGATGAAGTTCAGTGCGCGAGCGCGGCGGGCGCGGGTGATGTGCCTGTTCAACAGGTTAGAAGTGCATGCAAATTGCAGGGTGTACCGGCGCCGTTAGACGCGATGTAATCGAACTGAATTAGACTGCGCGCGACGTGAAGAAAAACTTTTGTCGGTACTCGTCGGTGATCCTGCGATACACGCGCTCAGCTTCGTTGCTGGATACATGTGCAAATATAACCTTAATGTTCACTAGATTATTTATACGTACATATCTCACTTGTCGATTGTCATTTCAGGTTCGTTAGACATGCCCGGTTGTGTGGCCGCGTGGTGCACGAATTCCTCCAGCAAGGGATTCAAGATGTGTAACTTCCCGCGAAACAAGGAGAGACGAGACGCTTGGGTGAAGAATATGAATCGGCAGAACTGGTCGCCAACGCCGCATTCGGCTTTATGCGAAGTATACACGTGTGCATGTATTTGAATGTTAAATTCATGCGGACGTTCATGACCTCGGATATTGACGAGAGTTGAACCTTTAGGTACACTTTGCATCAGATATGTGGGAGAAGATACGGATAGATGGTAAGAAAAAGTTAAAGGCTAACGCTGTACCCACAATTTTTGTCACAAAATGTATGTACCTTGTACTGACTGGCACAAATGAGTCTTCAGTGAAGAAAAAAAATATCCTAGACTCAGTGTCTATATTGAGAAGAAAATCAAGATGTCCCACAAAGAAAGGTAAGATGGATAAATAACAATACTAGTTTTGCAAAGAAAATTGAATCCAAAGAAAATATTGACTCGCAATGTTCGCTCTGTAACAGACAATGGATTGCAAAAGGAATGTGATAGACAATTGCATAGAAATCAAGTAACAAATAATGAAGAAGCTAACAACAATAATGAATCAGAAAATGCTTACGGAAACAACAAGGAGAAATTGGAAAAATCGGAGTGTATATCACAAGATTCGGATATCTACCTGATGCTATGAACAATGGATTTTAATGCAATTGTTGGAAGAAGAATAGAACTCTCAAATAAAAGGAAGCTGTTGTGAGAAGCAACAAAGGTGCAGCATAAACTGAAGAAACTGAAGGTACTACAGCTATACACAGCTGGAGAGGTTGTACCGGAAGTACTACAACCATGCACTGTGTGCAGTTACGTATAGCTGAAGAAAAAAAAAACTGTAGAAAATCATCACCTTTAAATGATGCATTGTATGTGAAAGTGTTTATGAACTATTTAAAGTGAAAACCAAAATATTAGAATAGAATATTAAGTGACAAAATATAGGAAAGTTCCATTGTGTTGTAATTTCTCTCTCTTTGCACATAGTTACAAGCTCTAAATGTCGCAGATACCTTTGGTTTGAATTATCTGTCCCCACCGATATTTTCCAATATCGTTAATTTCCACCAAATACAAATATCACGATATCACTCATAAAGAGTAATACTTGTGCAAAAGAATGCAGTACTGCGATATTAACCATAGTTCCTTCCTCTTGCACTATCATACGCCACAGTGATATCTGTGATAATACCCGGCGATATCTTCGGGTCCAGCTTACTGGATGCGCCACGTAGTTTCAGGACGCGCGCTAATCTTCGTGCGTTCAGTCCGGCGAATCAGAGCGCTCGGTTAACCCGCAAGTGGCGCACACCACGTTCCAAAAGAGTGAACGGCGAGGGGGCGGAGGGGAAGTAAACGCCGGCGGCGTAGAGCGAACGGTTCCGAGCTGTCGCAACGGTACTTCAGTTCAGAGACACACGTTTCGCGGCTCGCGTATGCTCACGAGAGCCAGTTCGTAGCCAGATTCGGCCGGCAGCAGCTGCGGTACCATTGCACTACGCGCAAGCGTGACTCGGAATTTACAACATGGCGGAGCGCAGGAAAAGCAGGAAGCGCAAAAACGTAAGCGTTGCATATGGCACGGACTCGCGTGTATTCGCACGTACTTGCTGTGCACGTTCAGGATCACGAACGGTCGACACGAAGAGCGACGCACGTTGTCACGCACATTCGCATCGCGACTTCACGACCTGGCGATATGTGTCATCGGCACGCCGACGAGCGCGCTGTTCCAGATGACGTAGACAAACAGGAACACCGCTCGCGATCTGCTCGCGTCGGAAAATCACGAGTTACCTGACATTCCTCTTCGTGTCAGTCCGATTCGCGCGAGCTACGTACGACGTAATTCCATCTAGTCGGTCTCGATTCTCCTTGATCTTCATTTGACGCGAGTTTTTGTTATTTGTTGTGACAGGAAATAGCCAGTTTAGAGCCTAAGGTCGCTCCGGACAAACCATCCAAGGAGGAATACTCGGTGGCCAAATGGATCCGCAATAATGTACCATCGAAAAAGACCAAATTCGATAGAGCTCACAATGTCGAGTATTTCACTGGGTCGCGGGCCGTCGATGCCTTACTGGAAAATTCACCCTGGAGCTCTGTATTCGAGAACCGTAAACAAGTCTCCCAGTTCCTAGACCAGATGTTGAGGCATAAGTTCTTTCACCGAGCAAAGAAGGTGGTGATATCAGAGGAGGAACTCAATAAGATGCGAGGTATCAAGAAGAAGACTAAAGATCCAAAAGATGAGAAGAAAGAAGATAAGGAGAAGAAGGAAAAGGAGAGAGAGAAAGAAGATTCCAAAGAGAGCAAAGACACAGTTGTGATAAAGGATGAAAAGGATGATGAGAGGGCTGACGATCAAAAGAAATCTAAGAAAAAGCCAAAAGTAAATGCAGAATAATCTTCCTATGTTGATTACGTATTCTTTACTTAGTAACTTTATATTCAGTTCATAATGAAAGAGAAACAAATACCTTTGACTGTTGCAGGTAAGACTAGAGATGCACATGGAGCAATGCTTTGTAGACTGCAATGATGCATATGTGTGGATATATGAGCCAATACCAGTGTATTACTGGTTCTTCGGCACACTTGTAGTCTTAGGAGCAACAGCAGTCTGCCTCTTCCCGCTGTGGCCGTTGACTATCCGTCACGGAGTGTATTATCTGAGCATTGCTGCTGCAGGATTCCTTGTATTTATATTAGCGTTGGCAATTATCAGAATGATTGTATTCTGTCTTCTGTGGGTACCCACATTAGGTAGATGCCACCTGTGGCTACTGCCTAACTTAACGGCCGATGTCGGCTTCTTCGCATCTTTCTGGCCGTTATATCAGGTTGGTGCAGTTCTATCTGTTCTGCCACCGCTCGTCACGGCGAACATATAAATTCATCTAACGCAAGAATATGCTTACAGTATGATTATTATGGTTCTACGTCCAGTAGTGACAAAAAAGGTAGTAAAAAGAGAAAAAGAAAAGACAAAGATTCAGATTCTGAGGATGCGGCGTTGATTCAGTCGTAAGTGTCACAAGTTATTAATTGGATGTACAGCTGGTGGTAAGAGAGCCATTCGTCATTGAATGTTGGGTACGATCATTTAAATCTTGGCTGAAGACTAAGATTTTTGAAGCTAAGATTTAAATTATAGCATCCGATATCTATCAACAGTTTCCATCAGCCTTTTATTCTCACTGATACCGGTTGTTTACAAAAAACCTTCAATATCTTTCTTTTAATTGGCTGGATGTATATTTTGAGTGAAATATCTTCAACATTGTGTTGTTTTGTCTTCAGGGAGGAGAAATCCGAGGAAACGCAGGAGGAAACGCAGGAGTCACCCAAGGAGGAGACGCAAGTAGAGGAATCATTGTCCAACACGGAAAGAAAGGACTCGTGCGACTCTGTTGAGGCAGAGGAAGGTAGCGAAGAAGGTTCGGAGAGCGAGAAATCGAACACGGGTCGAGACTTTGTTATGGTTTAAGGTCGAGAGGATGCTGGGTAATAGACAGCTTCACGTTTGCTGAAATAAGCAGCTCTTAATTGTCGCATTAATAATCACTAAGATCGATATATGCTTACGTTCGAACATTAATGTGCAATTTTGAAATTGTCGGGGATATTTCGGTGAGCGGAAGCGGTTTACAGTAAGAGCGTCAACAGATCGCGTCATCCTAGCGTATTGAAATATCAGTCGACAGGCAAATTTAACCCATCAACCGCCGAATATTTATTTGTTATTCTATTATCTCGATTACTCGATATCTCGTCTGAGCTATCTAATCGAAGATAGAGAAAATAAAATTCGTTAAGGTCCAGCAGGTTGGCAGACCGTGGCAGTTGGATGGATCATGAAATTCGACCGTAGCAAATTCTTCAGATTTGTTGCATTTGAAAGAAGAGAGGATATGTGCAGATTCACGCAAAATGGAAAGAAATATAGAGATAATAATATAATACCGGAAACTCGAGTCTAATTGGATATTACATATTTCTATATTCTATACAGAGTTGCTTCGACTTGTACGTATCTCCTTTTCTTTCTGTTGATCTGCAAAATCTCCGAGCCTTCGTAACATTTTTAACGACTGCATTTAAGTATGTTTGCGAGCGAATGGGAGAAAGGAAAAAAGGAAAGGTCGATTGTATGATTCTCGGCGCATGAGATTATATCTTGCGGCGGCACGTGTTGTAAAGTACTGTCTGTAGAAATACGATTGTGACAAAGCGTGTTTTATTCTACATATATGTGTAATACGAGGAGAATCATATTACTTCTAGACGCGCAAGCGCGTTTTCTCGAGGGTACGTCAGTTTCCGTTGAATAAATTGCAATACTCGTTCGAAATCTTCGATCTCTCAACAAGCTCAACCGGTGCAAGAGTGGGAGAGAAAAAGAAGAGCATAGTTATAGGTGAAATCCATCATGTTCTCCCATTTATATATGAATTTACGTCCCTCGGGGGATATCAATTAGCTGGAAGAGTGAAATCTTTACGGGTACAAACTTCGACGATGTCTCCGTCGTTCGCCCTGTGTCTAGCGCGAGTTCCTTTTTAGCAGAGAGATGAATAAGTCCAACCTTACGAAGGAGTTTATTCTCCGATGTTTAATATGACAGATTGTAATTTATATTACGTGTAATTTCCAAATAATACTTAGCGTTATTTTTATTTTAATTCGACGACATAACGTACGAACATCTTTCGTGCCGATGTGAATATGCCACAGCCCCCCCTTCCCCCCCCCCATGATTTTACTTGTATTTCGAAATAGAGAATAAAATAAAGCGTTATCTATAGATAGAATAATCGTTAACGTAAAATGCATGCTGACATCGCGTCATCATGGATAGCTGGCCTTGCAGATGATCTCGCGCAGCATCGCGTTGCACATAGCCGCGTACGGGTTCAGGGCGACCAATTGCGACCTGGCGAAGCTCGAGCCGGCCTTGGCCGCTCGGACGAAGTCCTCCTTCGCCTTTTCCTCCTGCTCCATCCAGCGATAAAGGGCACCGCGCTGACAGAGCGCCTGGACTCCGACCTTTCCTTTCCCTTCGCTCAGTTCCACCGCCAGGTGCAGGTCCTTCAAGGCTTCTAAACGAAAGAATTTCACTTTTCTCACACAACTCTCTTCGTGTGTATCTGGAGACGTGCGTGCGCGCGATATCGAGATACCTTCGTGCCGATTTGCCAAACGAAACGCTTGCGCCCTGTCGTTCAAGATCGCCGGCGACTTGGGTGCCTCCTTCAAGGCTTCGTCGAACAGTCGAAAAGACTCGTCGAAGTTCTTCGCTTCCGCGCAGACTATCGCCCTCTTCACGATGTCCAGCACTTGCGGTCCCAAGTGGTCTTCCTCGAGAGCACCCGTCGTCTCTGAAAGAAAACATTCAGAAGTATCGTTAGAAAAATATTAGCAGAGACGATGTCGGATAAAAGCGTCTTGCTCGCGCCGATGCGTGTGCGATTCGCTCATACTCGTACGCATTTTACAGAGGACTGCGTAGTGCGACGAGCGCGAAATTCCACGGATCATTTTCTTCTTCCATTTATAATGCGCGGCGCAACCTTGAGAGTCGCACGATAACAGGAGAATTTATCTGTCATTATGTCGCGCGGTGGTTTCTTACATATTCATGACGATCCGGATTTCTCGTGCGAGAGCGAATCGCCGGAGAGCGCGCTTTGTGCGACGGACGAGTGCGGTTAGCCACGAGCCTTAAGCGCTCGATGATTTTTCGAGGGAGATCTCGCAGCGTCTGCGGTCTGAATGTGTCTCCCATTATTGTAACGAATGTCTCAAGATGCGCAATCTAATGTACCACCTATTATAGTAATCATTCTCGTGTTGTTATCGAATCAATGTTATTGAACAATTATCGTGTTGTCATTGAAAGTATTCTATTGTGAAACTTTATTATATATTAAGCTCAACAGGTGTTTACAGCATTGAGCTCTCCGAACGAGTTGTTGCTTGAAACTTGTCTCTAAGAAGTAAAATACTTTGATCTGAATTTAAAATCGGATTTGGATTTTGCAGTTGAATCTCACTAAAAACCTGATTCTCCTAAATTGAGTCGTATGACACACGTGACATTGTATTTCCAATTATAATTTAACTAAAAAGTCCACGTCTAATTCTCTCCAAGTCCAAATCTAAGACGCGTCGTGGCCAATCCTTTCTCTTTCTCCCTCTTTCTCTCTCTCTCTCCTCTCTCTCTCTCTCTCTCTCTCTCTCTCGGAATCACATACCAAGTTCCTCCGGAAAGTCGGACAAGCCGAGCGGCTGAAGAGGATCGAAAATGCTCGTCAAGACAGCTCTGTCGGCTTCGCTGAGTCCCTCCATGATATCGACTGGAATCTTTCCGTCCGCTTCTCATCGACCATGCACTCGATGGAAACTTGTTTTTGTTTGTCGTCTCCACGGTGAATTAATCGTATTGCGTCACGCGACTAATAGACCGATCCGGAATGTCGTCGAGCAGGCGTGGATTACTGGACGGTCGCACGGGAGTTCCACTTTACATACGGACACCAAGGAGCAGGATCGTAGGTGTAGTAGATACTGCCGATCGGTAGTCGGTGGCTACCAGTCAACGGCGACCGGTAGCCGATAGCCGGTCGATTACGCGAATTTCGAGCGAGGAAGCGTGAGAGAATCTCGCCTCACCGCCAGCGCAAGGTGGTGGTTCCGGTATCGAGCGCCGATTATAAATCTTCACGCGCGCAGCTGGGTCTTCCTTCTCCTCCTCCTCCTCCTCCTCCTCCTCCTTCGGCGGCAAAGCTGCCGTTGCCGGGAGGCGCAGCACGTGGTGGTTGACAGGAAAAAAATCCCGGGCAACTCTCCTAATCGCGATTAATTCATTTCAATTAACATTCGGCGATTTATCTCGCCGCACGCGAGCCTCGCTGCTCGGGTGCGTGACCCGGCAAAAATGCCGGGTCACCGCGTGTCGAGCAGGCTCTGGCCGGTTTTATTCATTTCGGGAAACCCTCGTAAATTAGGAGCCGTGTGAGCGAGAGCATCCGGGAAACGTCCGCCGCGCCGCTGTCCGCGAGCGATCGCTGAATTTCCCGCGCCGCGTTTACGATCGTAACAGTAAACGTGCGATTTAACACGTTCGCTAACCGCGCTTAGACTGAAAGTCGCTCGCTGGTGCCGGCGCTATATTTTCGCTACTTAATATGACGCATGCCTGCACTTATGCGCACTTGTGCGCGTAAAGTGCATTAGACATACTCGATATTTCACCTAATTTGTATCGCACACGCATGTCGCACAATTACGACCCTATTAGTCACGCTATTAGTAAACGCGTTGCAGCGGGTCGTCTCTGCGGATTTCGAAGGCGACTCGCGAGACGCAAGGTGCTGCTAAGGCGTGCATGACTGCACTCTCGTGCAACCGCTCGTATGTCTTTTTTATATCTTTTCGCGTCATCTGAGGCTCGGTGGTCCGACATCTGTTATATCTAAAATCACCTGTTATGGTGGCCGTGCTTGAATACACATTCCATTAGCTATTATTGTCTACATTTTGTTCGCTTTCTTTTGCATTTTTCGTCAATACTCCGAATGCCGTTTATGTATGATAAATCCTTACCTCTATTCGGATTCTTAGCAGCGTTGCACCGTTCAGTGAAACGAAAGGATGAAAACGCGAAGCCGGGACGCACCGTGGACTCCATTTTTCCTTTTCTTTCACTCTCATTACCGAACAGGCGCGCTAGCGCTCATAGCCAACGTCGCACGTCGGCCAATTACGTAGTTTTCCATGAAGATCGACGCGGCGCCCTCCTCCTCTTCGCGCACTGACATCCCCCCATGCCGTTCCTCCGCTCCTCGTTATACCGACGCTCAGCGGGGCGCCGCGATTTTTCGCAGTTTCTTCGGGAACGACGACGCGCGACGCCGCGATGCGCGTCCCGCGACTTTACCGTTACAGGGGACTGTTGAACGGCTCTGTCGGCGTCCTCGGCGTTTTCCCACGAGCGAAGGTGCCGCGAGGAAGCGCGACGACGAAGGATTTTCCTCGTCACGGAAGCCGAGCGCGGCCAACTCCAAGCGACTTCTCCGGCCGAGCTCCCTGGGATCTCGTCGCAGCTTCACGCGAGGAACGCGACCGTGACAGATATCGCATTCTCTCACCCTGCAGCCGCGGCCATGCCTCCCCCTGAAGACCATGTCGAACGCGAGAATCGTGACCCAGGATTCGGACCATGTAATTGCCGCCCCTCTCCCTCCACCTCGGCGGACTTTTGACTTTGACTCGTTCTCCGGGTCCGGCATCGGGTTCAAAATCTCACGTGGATCCGTATCGTAGATCAAAGCCGAGCAACGTGCGATCTCTCTCGCGCGCGCGCGCGCAACAGCCACTCTTACGGGCCGCGTCCACGAGGACGCGGAGGTGGGTCGCTCGTGAGCGCGCCTTGGACTGATCCATAAATCGCCTATCGCGCGTCATCGCGGTAATCGCGAGCGTGTCGGCTGGAGTGTCGACAATTACACCGAGAGCCGAAGCAATGTTCGGCGTTCGTGAGTGTAATCGCGTATAGCGGGATGATTGCCAGCCAGGAGAAACACTTTTGCAGCGAGCGCTGCCGCGGCGTTAGCACGGTAACAATCTTGTACGCTTATCGTTACCGCTACTACTGTTCTGTCGAAGCAGCGAGATACGATCGACGTCGAAAATGACGGTAATTGAAGCGAGATTAGCCATTTTGGTTCTCTCGGTGTAGCAAGGCGCGTGACGCGAGAGTGCTGCGAGCGATCCGTCGCGATATCGCACGCTCTCGCTCTCGATACGACGCGACGCGACGCGCCGCGACGCGACGCGACGCGGCCTCGGTGGCCGCGAAAAAACGCTCGCTTCGACACGCATTACAATACACACCGCGGGTCCCCCGTGTGTCGTAATGGAATAAATATTTCATTCGGCACGTTCTCGGGCCTACGAGCGGGAGAGAAGGAGAAAGAGACAGAGAAAGAGTGGGAACGCAGGCAAAGCGAGCAGCGCAGCAGCAGCCAGCACACGCCGGCGCGGCGCTTTTTCCTCTTGAGCGCAGTGGCCAAGTGCAGCGCGTTTGCGTCCCTCAGCTCGCGCGCGCGGGGCCGAAGGGCCCCGTCACGACGGCGAACTTAACGGCCCATAATTCATTGCCGACGTATAATAAATATCGTTAGTCCGTCGTGAGCGAGCGTAGACACGCGGAGAGCGAGAGCGGCCGGGAGAGAGCCGAGCCGAGATTTTAAATTCTCGCGAGAGACGTCCATCGCGCCGTCCTCCTCTCGACGGCCCCCGTGTGTCGACATCGCGGCTCTCGTCGACGAGGACTCTCGATGATATTCTCGTCCCGTCGAGCTGATACCTTCGGTAGAGCTCGCCGTCGCGATAGCAACGGCACTATGCGCGCCGCACGAATCGATATCGACTTCACGAACGAGCAGCGCGAAGGACGATTCCGCTTCACCCACGGCTCTTTCCTGCGTCCCACGAAGGTAGACTTCACTGAACTTTTCCTCGTTCACGGATGTCGAAGACATCCCCTCGATCGGTCCGCGCCTAGTCGACCTTGGTGTGCTCTTCTTGTCGACTGACGCCGGTCGTGCTTGACGGGACTCGACGAATCGAATCTCAAAGTGAGAAAAAGCCTGATAAAATATAAGTCGCCAATAATAAAACGTGTTTTTCGTTTTACGCGTGTAAAATCGAGACGACCGTCACAAGACGGAGGTCGAACGAAACCTTCTTCTTTTCTCTCCCTCTCACACTCTTTCTCTCTCTCTCTCTCTCTCTCTCTCTCTCTCTCTCTCTCTCTCTCTAAACTTCTCGGAATGAAATTTCACTCGAAGAATAGAATGACCACCGAGTGGTCATTCTTCAAATGATTTTCCACCTATACAAACGAAACTGAGCAGTGAATCTGTCGTAGTTCACCATCGCAAGATCATACTCGTTCACACAAAGTCAGAATCCGCTCGAAGCTTGAGGCGAAACACTCTTCGCGACTTCGAGCGGTAGAATTTCCCTTCCAGCAGAAATACCGCCACTTTCCATCCGTTTTAAAGCGTCACTTCACTCTGAAAAAAAAAACACAGAGTTCGAACCGCGAGTCAGACAGCGCCGGTTCGATATGCTGCACGCGGAGGAGCGGGCGAATGAATGAGTGAGTGAACGAGCGTTCGGGCGGCCCCGTTGCGAAAAATCAGCCAAGGACGAATATGCGGCTAATAATGCAAATTGGGACAGCGCGCGTTTAATTATAGCGGCTCTCGTCGCGCGGCGTAGACTCGCTCGCTCGCTCGCGACGGCTCGGTCGCGCAGGCTCGTTTTTCGGAGCGCCGCGCGGCGTCGAATTTATGGGACATCGCGCGCTATATGCATTTATGCATGATATTTATGGTTATAAGAGGACAGCCCTTTCGTGCGCTCGCGGTACACGCCTTCCTCTCGTCGGCTACCCCGATACCTCGCGGTCGAGCTTTCGCGGCCTTGGCGGTCTAATAAAAGTTCTCTTGAATAATGCGCGCCGCTTCGTGTATCGACGTGCGCGAAACACGCGGCGCGGCGCGGCGCGACGCCGAGCGCATCGCGTGCCGGCCGGCGCGCATTCGATTTATTCCCGTACGAAAATCCCGCGGGAATGCTGCATTATCGTTATTACCGCTCGTGGAGTCGAGCCAGCCAGCGCCGTGCTTAGGCTCGCGTTAGGCTCGAGTCGCGACGAAGATGGGATTAATACGACGAGATTGTTACGATCGCCGGCTCTCCGCTCTGTGCTTTTCGCACGGGAAGCCCCAGGTAGAACAGAAAATCGTGATAACATCAAAATGACATCAAAATGACAAGAAAATGACCGAGTCACGATGGAATAATGAGTTTTCCTCATCATTTTGACGTCATTTTGATGTCATCGTGATTTCCTATTCTGCCTGAGGCGCGATCCTAGTTCGCTTCGTCGATGCTTCCCGCTCTCGATGGTATTGATTAACGGTCGTTTAGACCGTCTCCGCGAGGAGGATATGCGCGGTCCGGCCATTCGAATCCGTCGGCCGCTCTTCTGGTCTCGATTAATCGGCCCTGATAGCGCCGCTGGCCTATCGCATGCGCGCGTAATTTCCTTAATTCCGCGTTTTCGGTCCCGTCCGACCGAGTATTCCACGCACGAGCCAGCTGAATGATCGTCTCGGAATTTTACGAGATCGTTATGTGACGCAGATGCGTCTCCTCCACCTATGCGCGACGACCGCAGTCTCTCTCTCTCTCTCTCTCTCTCTCTCTCTCTCTCTCTCTCTCTCTCTCTCTCTCTCTCTCTCTTTCTACTTGCCATCCAGCTCGAGAGCGAATGCGCCGCGCGGTCCGATGGAATTTCAAATGAGGGTGCGGTTGCGCGTACGAAATTCAGTCAGGATGAGTTTTCGTCAGGACGCGCGTCCGCATAATTCGAGGATCGCCACGAGGGCTACATGTCGCGTTGCACACGACGAAGCAGCAGCGAAAGCATCGCGACGAGAAGAGGACCAGCTAAGAGAGGCAGGCGGGGGACAAGGGAGACGGAGAGAGCGAGGGAGGGAAGGGGGAGAGAGAAGGATCGAGGAGACCGGCAGAGAGGAGTCGACGGGCCCGAAACAAGGCCACCAAAAAATACCCCGCACGACCAACCACCGCGGTGGTTTGCGGTTACCGCAAATGCCGAGGTGCAGCGCGAAAAAAAGGACTCTCCTTTTCGCCTCCTCCGTTCCTTCTCCTCCTCCTCCTCCTCCTCCGCCTCCGCGGTCCCGCGCGTCCGTTCCGCTCGTCCTTAGCGTTATCGCCCGCCTCGGTCGTTCCTTCTCTCGACGCCCGCGAGAGGATCTCCTCTCCGGCGAGCGCGAGCGTAGACAGTCGGATTTATATTCAAATGAATCGCGCTGGAAGCCTCGATTTATCGACGCCCCATCGAACCCCGCGTACTACACTGTGCGAGGGAGCAGAGGGCGGCCGAGGGGGAGGAAAATCAAAGGGTTAGGTTGGGAGAGAGGAAGGATGCGATCCCGAGGAATCGATCCTCGCCAACTCGCACGACTGAGTAATCGCTGCTCGGGGGCTGTGTTTTCTTTCTTCTTCTTCTCTCTCTCTCTCTCTCTCTCTCTCTCTCTCTCTCTCTCTCTCTCTCTCTCTCTCTCTCTCGATCTGTCGGTCTCTCGCAACGAGGGTCGTGGATTATGTAAGAGGCCACCTCTTCCTCGAGAAGATCATCATTTTTTTCGTTGTTTTTCTTACGATATTTAATTATACGCTCGCGTGTGCAACGTGTTAAAACCAACCGGCGAACCGTCGGGAACGTTGCGGCCGTTATTGTCGTCCCGAATGTATTCACGACAACGCGAGCAGAGAACATCGTCCTGAATCTCCAGGATCGTCCCGGAGCGTATCGATATCGCGGCGCGATGGAAGTCCCGCGGACGTGGAGTTTTTCGCAGGCGCAATTATCGACACGACGATGTCCTCCCTTCGCGCCGTGCATGCCTTTATTTAGCTTTAGTTCGTCGAAACCGGTTGCAAGCGACTCCTCTCCTCTCTCCGAGCTCGAGAAAGAGA